CTGTGGGGGCGATATGCTGACTCTGTAAACCGCTTAGAGAGGGCTGAAAGCCCTATGAAGCGGTATATAAGTCTAACTGCTATTGCTATAACTCACTTAACAGAGAGTTAAGCCCCAAAGTTCTGCTAAGCAAAGCAGTTTTGCTTAGTAGAAGCAAAATGGAAAATCGAGTAAAATGGGAAATCCAGTTTCTTAAAATACAGGCAAATAATTGTTTCCCTAGTGCCGCATAATGGAGTGAGCTCCCGTTCCTTGTCCCAGCTTCTGCCAACCTAGAAGTTGGAAAGCACATAAAAAATGCAAGTAGAAAAATAGGTGGGAATGGAACAGTGTTCCGTGCGCCTTCGGTGTTTTGTCATGCCGGCCACATGACCATGGAGACGTCTTCGGACAGCGCTGGCTCTTGGGCTTTGAAAGTGAGATGAGCACCGTCCTCTAGAGTCGGGAACGACTAGCACAGATGTGCGAGGGGAACCTTTACCTAATCGTTTATTTATAACTGATAATCCTCAGTTTGCAGCCACAAATGGGAACTGAAAAAAACGGCAGTAAGCAATGTGATCATTAAGTGAGGTATCAGGTGACTGCACCTGGTTTTATGACCTCTTTGCTGCGATTGTTGAAGGAGATATCACATAATTGGGATTTGGGATCTTCACTGCTAGTTTCCCCATTGGCTTTGCATGTCAGAATCACAAACGTGTGATACCGGGGACACTGTGATCATCCTAAATGCAAGCTGGTTTATCAAGTGCCCAGTTTACAATGGCATGACTGCAAAGATGCTGCAATGGTCATAAGTATGAGGAATAAGTAACTTTTTTCAGCACCATCGTAACTTCAAATGGTTGCTTTGTGAATGGTGATAAGATGAGGATTACCTGTAATTTTTATTATTCTCAACAAGTTACAACCTTTGTTTAGTGACTATTCAAAGTTACAACAGCACTGAGAAAAGTGACTTAGGACTGTTTTTCACACTTACATCTGATGCAGCATTTCCATGGTCAGGTGATTGAAAGTCAGATGCTTGGCAACTGACTCATACTTATGACGGTGTCAGTGTCCTGGGATCATGTGATCCCCTTTGGCAACTTTCTGACAAGCAATGGGGAAGCCATTTTCACTTAAGAACTGTGTTACTAAAGTAACAACTGCAATGATTCATTTAACAACTGTAGCAAGAAATGTCATAAAATGGAGCAAAACACACTTAGTAAATGTCTCATTTAGCAACATAAATTTTGAGCTCAGTTGCAGTCGTAAGTCGAGGACTATCTGTAGTAAATCAGGAAGTTTTCTAATGCCCCGTAATACAACAGAAAAGTTCTTTTAAACTGTTGTTGAGATTCAAAAAGATTTAAGACGAAATCCAGTCAGGAATTTTGAGATGATGGGATTCCAGTTCAGAATGGTGACTTCCAGACTAAGCATGGTCTCTGAGGCACCCTTTGTCTTTAATTGTGAATCCACACATTGTATTAAAATTGGTGGAATCTGTATATTCCACCAAATTACAAACCCTGATTTTTTCCAACGATGGTGCAGTTTGCACCACATAATCCAAAACCAAGCGAATTAAATGAATAACCTATTAACCCCAATACCCAGATTCATTAAATGAATCTGGGTATTGGGGGTCACACATTGCTCTAAACCAGTGATGGACAACCTTTTTGGCGTGGTGTGTCAAAAATCGGCAAAAAATNGTCCGTATCGCCGCGACGTTGGCTCCTCCCTCCTCTTCCTTATTTTTTGCTGTCTCGAACATTTTACATGAGAAAAGAAAGCCTAGCATTAGAGGGAGGCCACCACTATCACCCTCAGTGACCTCAAGTTGGAGGATTAGGATCAGTCATTAAGCTACGAGGGATAGATCTGCTCAAAGACTGGATTTCCCTGCTTCTCTTCCAGATGGAAAACACGATCAAACAGTCCGAGAATGACCTGAACAAGCTCCTGGAATCAACACGCCGTCTCCATGAGGAATACAAGCCTCTCAAAGAACATGTGGATGCTCTGAGAATGACTTTGGGTTTGCAAAGGTTGCCTGATTTGTGTGAAGAGGAAGAAAAACTTTCTCTTGAGTAAGTTGAGAAGATACTGACCTTAATGTTCTAAAGTCTATTATGGGTCTGGCGGGGAAAGTGAAGAAGTCCATGGATTCATGAAAGAGTATATTGGGAATACTGATAAAAGGGAGTATTTGTAGCTCAATGTTGAAATGAGGGATCCTTGGTGCTTTCTGAGTTTGATTGTTTTCTTGCAGATGTTTCATTATGAAACTAGGTAAAAATGCTGGACTGTCTAGCACACTGATAATATTACCTAGTTTCATAATGAAAACTCTGCAAGAAAACAACCAAGGACAACTCAGTTCTTATCCTCTAACTGACAGCGTTACCTAGTTGGGTAATGAAATATCTGCAAGAAAACAACCAACTTCGGAGAACACTAAGGACCCCTAATTTCAACACTGAGCTACTAATATTCTTCTTTATTGAGACTAAAAAATGGATTTAGCTGTTGTGGGTGATTCTGTAATTATAACCCTCCCCGCCAACCCCCTCCCCCCCATTCCTTCATATTTCATAGAGACAGGATGCTGCAGGGAGAAAACTAGATCCTAGAGCAGTGTTTTTCAACCACTGTGCCGCGGCACACTAGTGTGCCG